CTTCCACTTCAAGTCCCATTGCTGTGGCCTCTGGTCTTTCACGCCGGGGAGGAGGCTAGGAGAGGGGCAGGTAATTAAGACTGACAGAGGTACAGCCGCCCCTCCCCAGGTTCCCAGTGGCCCTGGTGCAGGGTCAGTGATCACAGAAGGCAGAGGGAGACAGAGCTGGTTGTTGGCTCCAAACTGGGAGCCCTGCGTTGGGCCTGGGGCAGCTGCTCAGGGCAGGCCAGGTCTGGAGTCAGGATCCAGAATTCAGAACCCCCAAATCCTGGCCAGGCAGCCAGAGAGACAGGTGAAATCACACACACAAACACACACCCCCCTCCCCCAACCACCACCACCCTGGGTCCCAGACCACAAAAGGTTATCTTCCATGCAAGGGAGAAGGGATTTTTATCAGTTTTCAAAATAACTGTATAACCTGGAACTTGAAATGCTAGCAACCCCTCCAATCCTAGAAACCCTACACACACGGAGAGCAGGCAAGGCCCTCCCCAAAGCTACCCCTCCCCCCCCATATGAAAGACTCCCCATGAGTGTTATCTCCTCGCCCTGCTGGGTCTGGGAGACATGAAAAGACTGCCTGTGGGAATGCAGGCAGACTGGATGGCTGGCAAGGAGGAGCAGCCGGCTCCGGAAGGGAAATAGGAAGAAGCAAGAGGAAAAACACACACCACCGGTGTGCCCGCTGCTCCTCATTTATCTCCCGCCTTCCCCCTCTGCCCTCGCCATCTTTAATTGAAACCCAGTACGGGAAATAGTAATGGATACTGTGCTCGGATTGAGAGAACGTGTCTGTGGCTGCAGGGGGACAGTTAGTTCAGCAGATTTGGACGAGCCGATGTGTCTTTGCCCTGTCAACCTCCCTGACAGTAGCGGCCATTGAATTGGTCATGCCCTCTCCGTGACAGAGCCCCCCCTGCCCTCTGTCCCGGCTGCTCTCACAGGGCAGGACCCCGGTGCGCCCACACCCCTGGCACCTCCCAACACCAGGGATAATGGGAAAAGCAAAAGCTGAAAACCACGAAAGTCAGACCCCCTCAGCCTGCAGTTGGGGATGGGACAGAACATCCTTTAAAAGTATTCTGTCCCCAAATCCCCATCCCACGAGCCAAATTCCTGGCATCAATGGGAAAGGGGCCACGTATACCCTTACCTGTCTCCACTGAAACTCTGGAAAGAGGATGTTGAATAGAGGAAGGTACTGGGCGGTCAAAAGTGCCTGGGGCCCAAGTCAGCTCTGGCCTGTGTCTCGCTGATTCTGGGTCAGATAAGATGAGAGGAAAAATTCCCGGCCTCTTCCTTGGGAATTCAGTTCGGCCGGACTAAGAAACGTCCATGGCATTATCTTTTTTTTTTTTTTAAGTAACTGGGTAAAGCACACAAAGAGAGCATTGAACATGCAGACTGGTTGGAAATTAGGAAACCACAATTAGATCCTTTTCCTGAGCGAGAGAGAAAGAGGAAAAAACCCCTCGCAGATGTAGAAGGCACTCCCGCCAGACACACACACACTTCCTCCACCCTGCCCGCCCGCTTCCCTCCCAACTTATCTAAATCACTAGCCCTGTACACATTTGCCCTTTTGCAGGGTGATCAGCTTTGATGAAAGGTCGGTGCTAATAAGAATAATGCAAAGGGTGAAATCTTTTCATTTGGCCTCTGCCAAAAGCCTGTTTATATTTAAAGGAGGTTTGATAAGCGTGGATTAAGTGTATAAGGAAGGATGCTCTAGAAACAGCAGAAACCCACTGGCGCCTCAGTGAGCCTCTGGACTAAAAATACTGCCTCCCCGAGCTAGACAACTTGGACAATTTTCTCTCTCCCACGCGTTTCAGGCTCTTGCACTGAATTGCCCTGATCAATAATTTAGAGGGCTGTCAGGGGGCAGGGAAATTTCTTACAGGAGAGCCCTGTGCTGCTGGGGCAAGAAGGAGGGTAGGAGCAAGGCCCCAACATGCCCTCCCTCACTCTGAACTCTTGCCTTGGGAAGGAGAGGAGAGGAGAGGAGAGGAGAGGAGAGGAGAAAAAAAAAGGAGAGGAGAGGAGAGAGAGAAGAGGGAGATCAGAACATTGGAACTGAGGTGAGAGCCAGCTCTGGGGAAAAGGGTGACTTTGGGGATACCAAATGGAGAAGGTGACACTTACAACCTAGACAAAGGGGCCCGCCCCTTGTCTATCTGTTAGGACACCTTATCGTGCTGGCCAAGGGCATCAGAGGAAGGTGTTTGCTCAAACCCCAGTGAAGAGGCATCTCGAGCCTGTCATGGTAACTGAAAAAGATGAGGGGGGTGCACAGGGGCCATTTAGAAACACAGAAAGGCAGGAGGAGAGCTTCAGAGGAGACAAGGAAACCAGAGAAAAGAGAAAGGGAGAAGAGAGAGAAAGACTAGAAAAGAGATTGAAGGGA